ATGAATAAAGACAAGAGGTAGTAGGCACGCTCCTGTGTAAGCTGCCAAAAGTCTAAGGTGTTTAGACACAACAAATATCCCCAAGGCTCGTTCAAAACTCATGACAATGGTTGAAGAATGACCACTTCTGCAAGTCTGAGCCATGCCTTCTGATTGAATGCATGAATATTCCAGCGTTCACCATAGTTGACCTTTTCTTCGTGTTAAATGTTGGATATCTGCTTTTACAGTTATCTATGTTCAGCTTTGACGATTGTGTGGTTAGGACCAATACCACTACATGTTTAACTCCCAGGAATGCTTATTCGGATTTGACTTATGTTCTCTCCTACCATTTGTTCTCATACTGACATTCTATACACCATACGAAGATCCCGATATCATTGTGACTTATCTCACTTTGGAGTGAAAGAAGAATAATCAAAGAATAAATTCTCAGAAAGTTCGAATACCCACATAGAATAATTTATGTCTGTGTGTCTGTTTCTCATATTTAGTCACAAACTATTGATCCTCCCTAATAGAAGCAGAATAGAGACCTAATTATTGGTACTGATGATGCAACGGATATTCTAGTTTTACAACTGGATACCAGTAGCACCTTCTATGTTCGATCGTTCCCAGTCAGATAGAAATCAGAAGTCAGACGAGAAGAGGTGGGAAAGATATATTTGATTCGTTACCAATATATCGAGGACCTTTTCTATGAGCTGGCTAATGAAACGTAGGAGCTGTGTCCCACGCCGAGTCGAAACGTGATCTGGTGCGGATGCGTGACCGAAAGCCTTCAGCTAAACAAGTCCACTTAAACAACGTGGTCAGCATCCAATGTCGAACACTTAATGAGCTATTGATTTTGGGGAATTATTTACAGCTACAGATCACTCCCCCCCTAGTGAGGTAGTGATGCCCCTAAGACGTGACCAGCCAGAAGTTTAAACCCAACGAGTTTGTCGTTGGTAAACACTCTTCTGATAGCTTGCTTCGTTTAGCAGCGTCTGGTCGTCTTTCCTTAAACTATGGGACCAAAATGTACAACGTAGCAATAAAGAAATATAGTACAATGAAAATTTCTGTTCCTTGCGAAACTTCGTCGTTCTTTTCCAGCCGTCCTGGAAAAGAGGAAAAATAAAACGTGTGAGTGCATGTCAAAAATACACTCGTACTTGCGTAAGGACACAAGATGAGCGGAAAAAAATAAACTGATACACTTACAAACAGCGTAAAAGCGATCGGAAAAAAGGTTTTCTTTTGGGTTTTTTTTCAATATATAAATATATATATATATACGCTCAAAAAAATGTTGTTTTTTTTGTTTTTGTTTTTTTACATAAATAAAAAATTATCATATTAAAAATTTTTTTTATAATGAACTATGGAAGGGTAATTGCAAGGTTTCCTGCAGTTTCTGGAAAACTTACCGTACTGGTTATGATACCAGCACCAGTCGGGATTGTCTGTCTCTCGTGGTCGAGAGCCAGATCGCTTACGTGAGGCGCTTCTACGCGGGGTTTTTGACCGACTACGGTCATTGCGAACTCTAAGATATCGTGTAAGCGTGTGACATAGTTCGGCCATGTCAGTCGAGGTCGATTGGGGTTTTTCTTTGACGGAAAAAACCTCGGCCTTAGAAGATCTAGTGATTTCCAAGATTCGATCGGCAGATGCAGCTAGTTCATCTATGGCATTGTTTTGAAATGAAACAAGCACTGCCTGCACCTGTTGAGGGAGTTTAGACAAGAAAAGTTGTCTAAATAGGCCATCATCGAAAGTTCGTTGGCCGATGACTTCTCTCATTCTAAGCAACATGTCCGTCGCAGAACCATGTTGCAAGTCGATATTGTTAAGGAGTTGGTCTAACCGTTGTCGATCAGTTAGGTCTCCTCGTTTTAAAATCGATAGCTTAAGCGATTCGTAAGGTTCGGAAACATCACTAGTAAACATACTAGGTGTTACGTACCTGTTAAACTCGCGCGGTAACGCCTTAACTACCGCAAGGAAACGTGTGCGCGAGTCCGTGATTCCGTGCATGCAAAAATCGGCTTCTGCATAGCAGAACCAGGACTCGATATTGTCGGGCCAAAATGGCGTTAACTGAATCGAAATAGGGGGAATAGACTTAAACTTAAGAACCTTAGGAGAGTGTTCCGTCATAGTAATATAGATATCGAAAAATGTCTAAGTAAAATATATCCGAGAAAAAAAATTCGCGAAAAAAGTATATCACAATACATAAAATTCAAATAAAGAATAACAATGAATAATAATATTCCAAAATGGAACAGACTCACAGTATATTGACTTGGTGTACCAGATCACGTCGGGTTCACCAATGATGATGCAACGGATATTCTAGTTTTACAACTGGATACCAGTAGCACCTTCTATGTTCGATCGTTCCCAGTTAGATAGAAATCAGAAGTCAGACGAGAAGAGGTGGGAAAGATATATTTGATTCGTTACCAATATATCGAGGACCTTTTCTATGAGCTGGCTAATGAAACGTAGGAGCTGTGTCCCACGCCGAGTCGAAACGTGATCTGGTGCGGATGCATGACCGAAAGCCTTCAGCTAAACAAGTCCACTTAAACAACGTGGTCAGCATCCAATGTCGAACACTTAATGAGCTATTGATTTTGGGGAATTATTTGCAGCTACAGTACACATGTTTAAAGTACAATAAAATATAATGACGATTATGGGCCACACAATTGAAGACAGCAAAACGGAGCTAAGATATTCCACTAACAACAGGCGCTGGAATTCCAAACGGTTGAATGTGTTACCTTTACATGACTATCTAAAACAGGTGGATTGGTATGTTTCCCCCCAACTTGAAGTGGATGCTCATTGGGATTTCTTACTGCACATGATCTTATGTGCTACTGCGCATTCAGTTCCTCAAACGATCCTAAAAAACTAAAAACAACCTACAATCATCAAGAACCACACTCGTCGTTTGCGAAGCTGTGAAAGACACTGTTGGGCCGAATATAAACGAACTGACAATAACGACGCATACAGGCAATACAAACATATAAGGAACATATGCTCAAAGGCAGTAAGAGAAGACATGCTTCAGTACCAGACCAAGCTTATCGATAAATTTGTCTTCAATCCGAAAAGCTTAATCCGTTACGCAGCTTCTCTTCGACAAGGCAAAACTGGAGTTTCCCAACTACTAGGTCCTAATGATCCGACCAGTAACGACGGTGATGCCGCTAAACATTTGGCTGAACAATACTCTCAGAAATTCCAGCTGACCCACATCAGCTTTACTGACAAAAGCTTCACCTGCACCTGTACAGGACTTTCCGAAGTGGACCTGAGTGCTGACCTGGTGCTCCGTAAACTGCAGCACCTTAGAAAAGACACTTCTCCAGGTCCGGATACGGTTCACCCTGCTATATTAAGGGAAGCAGCTTTAATCCTGGCATCACCACTTAACGTGATGTTTTCATACTCGCTAAGCAGAGGCAAACTACCGGAAATTTGGAAGCTGGCCCACATCACACCAATTTTCAAAGGAGGTCGACGCAGTGAACCCTCAAGTTACCGACCAGTGGCCCTTCTCTCCATACCTTCTAAAATTACTGAATCTCTGATATACGACCGTATACAAGAATATTTATTATCCTTAAAGTTCTTCCCACCCCAACAGCACGGTTTCAGAAAGGGTCATTCTTGTATGACCAACCTGCTGACTACGGTGGATAGATGGACAACCATCCTTGATCACAAGGGGAAGGTTGACGTCATTTACCTTGAATTCTCAATAGCTTTTGATAGGGTCAACCACGTATGTCTTGTCAATAAGCTTAGACGACTGGGTATCCAAACCCTCTGATTGACTGGCTAACTTCATATCTAGAAAACCGACATTTTAAGGTCAGGGATGACTTCACTCTCTCTCAGGCTATGGAATGTCCTAGTGGGGTCCCCCAGGGCTCAATACTAGGACTTCTTCTCTTCTTGATTTACATTAACGATCCTCCCCAACAAGTTTCATCAGACTTATTGCTTTTTGCTGATGATGTGAAACTTTGGAGAGAGATATGTAACCTTGAGGATATACTAGCACTTCAGGAGGATCTGACCCGACTTCAAAGTTGGGCAGACGACAACGGACTTACCTTCAACACTTCAAAGTGCAAAGTAGTCCATCTGCGACATGTTTCTGACTATAGTTACAACTTAGGTAACTCCTCTCTAGAAGTTTCCCAAGTCGAAAAAGATTTAGGAGTGTTGGTACCCTACGACTTGAAGTCGTATGCTAACTGTGACATAAACGCCTTTCAAGCAAAACTTGCACTGGTAACATTGAAGCGCATTTTTGGCCAGTTTGACGGTAGAACTTTCGGCATAATTTTTGACAGTTTTATTCGTCCCCATTTAGAGTATGGAAACATAGTATTTCCTCCCTCCCTCCAAAAGGATAAGGTCACTCTGGAACGTATACAACGTCGAGCTACGAAATCAGTTCGGGGACTCAAATTCAAACCTTATGAAGAGTGTCTCTAATCAATTAACCTTTACCCGTTAGAGTACAGGCGTCTTAGAGGTGACCTTCTTATGGCTTACAGTATCCTTAACACTTCTGGTCATTCCCTTAAACATCTTCTTAAGCTTAGCCACAACACTAAACTAAGAGGTAACACCCAGAAAATGGAGACTAAACATAACAGAACAGACTGCAGACACAACTTCTACTTCGTAAGAGTTGTCAAATGCTGGAATTCTCTGCCGACTGAGCTAGTCCGAGCGACTTCCCAGGAGTCCTTTAAGAGGAAACTTGACTTATTCTTGAGGACTAAGGATGACATATTATTTTGATTTATCAAATTCTTTTTTTCCTCTATTATCGTTGATATACCTAGGTTCCTGCCTGGAGGTATTCGCGATCCACTGCTACCAGACACGGAAGCCCGTTAAGCGAAAGCTTCTTCTATTCCGTCCTCAACCATTTGAACACTCATGCGCAACCGACATTGATCTAAAAATGTTGACTCACTTCTGTAAAAAAATAATCAAAAATTTTGAAAGGGTTATATCTGAAACTGGTGAAAATTATTCGTCAACTAACTTCTAACTACGACGTTCAGCATACGAAAATTTGAACTATTTAATCGACAGCCCGTCAGTCCAAACTCTTTCTGAACGGCGCACACGTGAATTAGAGGATGACGTTATCGACTATTTCGGATGAAGCAGAAGCATTAAAAGAAGAAGCTAACAAATTTTTTAAAGGTAATGCATGGACAAACCTCACGCACACAAATATGGACACATGTATAACGGTATTTTTCAACTAGATGGGGACTACGAAAAAGCCATCGATGCATACACAAAGGCGATCGAAATTCGGGAAACTGCTGTCTATTTGGCCAACAGAAGCCTCGCTTATCTTCGTACAGAGTGTTTCGGTTATGCTTTGGATGATGCTTCTAAAGCTATATCTTTGGATAGTTCCTATGTGAAGGTTTGTCATCTGGATCTCTTTATTTGTCCAGGGTTATTATCGCAGGGCATCTGCACACATGGCATTAGGTCAGTATAAGGAGGCGTTGACTGACTACGAAACTGTAAGTACACGAAGTATTCTACTAGCCTGACATCTGAACATTTAAGCCTTGTCATTTATTAAAAACAGAAATTTACTTGAAGTTTTGAAAAATTTATATTTTTATGACGGAATTACGGAGTTACCTCACTGAACACTGAGTTTCTAGTTGTCGAGACACTATCCAATGAATTACAGATGTTAATTAATCATCACTTTTTGGAGAAATACTTTGAAATACTGAATGCATTGAACTGAACATCGTGTATAGCAATGATGAAAGATTCAACAATACGTATAATGTCGCTCCACACACTTCATCTGATGCCACACGTTTTATGAAAATTCTAATTATTTTCTCAACTAGGTCTTTTGAAATTATCAACATTTTATCTAGTATAACACAGAATCCTCCAGAACTTAATGACAAAACCAACCCATGTGCTTCTCATCTCGTAGGATCCAGTTTGTGTTCTGTTCTTACCTGTTCGATTGAATTCAATCACAGTTTCCTTCCACAATAAGTCCTGTAAGTTAGTGCAAGGATCGGTAGGATTAAACCATACTGCCGACCTTTGAACGAATCTTAAATGACCTTGAGAAACAGCCAATCAGAAGACAGTGTACAGTAAAAATTTATTATACAAAACCAAAGAATTAAAGTGGAAACACTTCTTCTACATGAGTCAAAAACTTCTCAAGGTTAGATATAGGTTCAGAAGTTCTAAAATCATAGTGCATACGGTACTAGAGCACATCCATATGGCTTCATATTAGTCGACCTCTGAAACCATGATAAGGTCTCAAAAATCCCTTTAGCCTCGACCACATAGCTTCAATAATGTTAGTATATTGGTATGATTTACGATTTAGGGTTAGAGTTAAGGTTTCGGGTTAAGGGTGAGACTATAATTTATGAATGACCTTTGAGCGACGCTAGAGTGACTCTGAGAGTGTCAAATAATAACTAAGACCAAATGAGGGTTATAAACCTGTAAGAAGAATTCAAATTATGATTTACAGTTCATGGTTAAGGCTAGGAATTATACTTAGGGTTTTCATTACGAACTGACCAGCTATAATGCCAAAAATCTATTTATCCAAATGGGTAATTGAATTTCGCGCCAAAATCTTATGATCACTTCTCTTGTAGACGCTGAATTATTACGTCTTCCCTAAAATCCGCTGTAAAGCGATCGTACGTAAGCATCAGGTACCGAACCTAGCGCCGTGACTTTGAAAACCCGCGAAAGCTTCTGATTGGTTCGGCAGTATAGTTTAATCCTACCCAAGGATCTTCACCACTTAAGCACAACTTATTTCAAAACTGCGAACTTTCTCACTATCTTTAAAGTTCTCGCCCAGTTTACGGGATGAAAACCTGTCTGTCTCAAAGTCATTCTTTAATATCCAATGTATTGCGAATTAGTTTCTTCTGTTTAGTAATGTAAAGGAATATAATAATTTTGAAAATGTTTAAAATATAAAATTTTACTTGTGACTCAGCATCTCTCTCTATGATCCTCGGCGAAGTCACTATAATTCTGACATTAATATTCATTTTCATGCACATCATATCTGTTCATGTTGTAGCTTGAAGCAGCAACAGTAAGGTGTTTCTTTGTCGCTAAATTTTTGCAATTTTTTCGGAAATCTTGTTACTCCTTTTTTCTACTGTGTTAGTATTCACTTTTGTTACATAATTTGATGTATCCTTTATGTTGCTGCCGATAACTCCCATAGTTTGCCCCCCCCGGGCAGTATCCCAGTCGTTACACAAATCGAGTGATTTATGTGGCGCATATCTATTTGGTGCCTCCTACTTATGTTTATGCGTTTAAATAAATAAAGATAGTATAAACTGGTTGGATTAAATGCTGTAGATTAGTTTTCATATCAAGGTGTTACAATTCGAAAATTTAAACTAAACGGGGGATTTTCTGTCTGGTTTTAAAAGGTATGTGGTCAAGCAGGTCTTATAACATGGATTAAACTGCCGAGCTGCACACTGATAATTTTATTTTTATTTTATTTAAACACATAAATATTGGTACAAGGAAGCACCAGATAAATATGCGCCATACAAATCTCATTCGATTTGCTTGAGGGCTGCGATACTGACCAGGTGCCCAAACTGAAACAGGTGGTTTTCTTAGGGGCTCACACCCGGAGCCTTTGACCGAAAGATCTGATCCACAAGGCAGTGGAGCATCATAAGGAGATGCAGTCCCGTGGTAGCCGGTGATCAACGATTGATTCCTGCGCCATTTGTTCCCTCAGGATACTGGAGCCCATGTGCACCATTGGTTTGGAATCAGGGTTTTCCAAATCCCCTAGGTGGACTCGCCTTGTCCACCAACCCGGTTAAAGCGCCAGACATTCGCTTTTCGTCGTCTCAATTTCGTAAACAACACCCCCGCCACGAGAAGGCAGTGAGCAGGACTTCCCTGGCAGAGTCTATTTTCGCCGGCCATGTGAGAGCATTTCGAGAGAGAGAGTGGACTCTCGGCCGTACCAGGGCATTTGGGGGCGCACACTGATAAAGTATCTTGTCACAGGTTATTTCGAATATAAATCTCATATAATAATTTATAAAATATTGCCGTAGTCTAATTCCCAATAAATTTTGTGTCAGTTTGAATAGTGTAACGATATACCATACCGTACATAAATCATTTACACCGTAACTTATAAAACTTTTACTTTGTAAGGACATAATCGTACTATTGCTGTATGTGGTGAGCTACTTTCAATGCAATTTAACCTCAGTAAAGTAGTGATTTAATTAAATCATACAATTCCAACCATAGGACGCAAATTTCCACCTGATTTGTCTTAGAAAGTCAATAACATTTGGTGTTTGTGTGTCGAGTTATTAAGAATGTTCTCTTTAATATTATCTGCTAATATAAGGTTTCATCTTAAATAGGTTATTCGAGTTGCACCTAGTGACAAAATGGCTCGTGAGAAGTTGACTGAATGCCGGAAAATAATTCGTCGCAAAGCATTTGAAAAAGCCATTGCAGTAGAAGATCAGCCATCTCCACTAGAATCTTTTGATCTGTCAACAATTACTGTAGAATCTAGTTACGATGGTCCGCACTTAGAACAGGATAGCAATGGGAAATACTTTGTCACGGAGTCGTTTATGTTAGCTTTAATGGAGCATTACAAATCTCAGAAAGTATTACACAAGAAATATGCCATAATAGTAAGTTAACATCTTTGTCCAATTTAGCAATTTAATAGCGATATGCCCATTTCATATTCTAAATGAAGTAAATGCCAAAATGCTATAATTCAAATCAAACACTTCGCGACTTCATTCTTTTCCACAAAAACGTGCCAGCTGTACTGGATATTTATTTTTTCGTGAATGAATTTCAAATTATATTTAAGTCGGATCTCAGTTATTGTTTTGGTTTTCGATATGAATACAAGTCGATCAATATCCAGAGAAGCTATTCACTAATAAGTCCCGTAATGTTTCCCTATCACCCCGATTTTTCCAATTGATCCCAGCGTCGGCATATAATACACAACGTGAAATTCTCTAGGACGACATTCTTAGGATATGTCCAAGCCATCGAAGTCGATGTTTCGAGATAGTGACACTATTTGAATTATCGCCACTGTGCCCAAACACACGATGTTGAACCTCTGTATAACTAACATGGTGTTGCCACTGGATATCAGCAATCCTTCAGAGACAACGACGATCAAACACAGAGTCGTCTAGCATCTTCAACTCAAAGAAGCCACGTTTCACAGGCATAGAGCGAAACCGCTCTTACTGATGCGTTGTAGATCGACCTTTTACAACCAGACTAAAATCACAAAGGCACCAAAGATGGCCCAGATTGGCATAAGCCTCTCTGGCTTTCACTATACGTGAATCGATCTCATCACTCACACCGTCACTAGCATTTACGCAGCTACCTAGATACACGAACTGCTTGATTACTTCTATCTGTTCACTAACCAGAGTGAGTGCAGGATTATGGTCTTACCAGACTTGTAATAGCATTTCGCACTTTGAAGGTGCAAAGTACATACCGTACCTACGGACACTGATTGCCAACTGATTAAGTGCGGATTGCATGGCTTGAATACCACCGCACAGTAAGACAATATCATTCACATACTCAAGGTCGAGAAGTCTTTCTCCAGGTAACAGATACACACCGCCATTACTTACGCCCATCAGAGCTGTTTCCAGAATGTCGTCAATGGCAAAGTTGAAGAGGAATGGTGAGATTGGGCAACCCTGCCTAACCTGGATACTTTTCATTGAAACAATAGCTTTCTATATATTTGATGATAGACTAAAGCATCGAAGACCATAAATAAATAAATACTGGCTTTACTCAATTTTTTTCTGAAATCTTCGTAATTGATTACCACCAAAAAAGGACTGCTGTCAACTGTTTTTTACCGACATAAACTCTCATGTTTCCCGGAATCCCAGATATTAGTGTCATATTTAACTTTTTGATCTGTTGATCATTTCATTCATCATCAATGGCAAAGTTGAAGAGGAATGGTGAGATTGGACAACCCTGTCTAACTCCACTGCTCGAATGGAACAGTGGAGAGAGCTGGTTATATGCCCTCATTCTGCCTGAGGTGTTTGAATATAGAACTTTCAAGATATTGATAAACTTCTCAGGCACATCCTTCTTCAATAGACAATCCCAGAGAACAGTCCTGTCCAACAAATCGAAGACAGCCCTAATGTCACGAGACACTACGATTGTTGGCCTGTGATAAGTATCACGGTTTTCTAAAATTTGGCGGAGGATGAAGATATTATCAATACGTACTCGACCAAAAAGAAAATCAACCTACTCTTCTCGAGTCAATCTTTCTTGAATTTTGAACAAACTACGAGGTATGTTGTAGGCCAATAGTTTGGACGCAATCGAAAGTAGACTTGATCCCCGACAGTTGTTACAGAAACGACATGAACCCTTTTTAAGGATAGTAACAACTGTCAACTCATTCCATGATGTTGGAACACTCCCTAATTGCCATATCTTCGCAAATAACTTGGTCAGTTACCTAACCAGAAAGCCACCACCAACTTTACAAAGGACCGAGGGTAGGTCATCTGGGCCTGGTGTTTGTAGCGCTCCAAGAGTTGGAGCTCCTTGAGGACTTCCGCCTCATTTGGTGGATCAGTAGTCACAGGTCATGGAGAGCAGGACTGTCTGATCGATGTTGCCGGGACAGCAGACCAGTTGAACTGCTCCTCAAAAAACACTGTCCATAGTCCAGGATGTCGATAGATTTTAGTGATTGGCATCCCGCCATCTCTACAGATTGTTTTGATCACATCAGACTTCTTACTGCTAGTGACTCGAATGAGTTGAGAGAGCTTCCAGAAGTTACCAGATGCAACTGCTGTTTCCAACTCAGTGGCACGCTCCGACCACCAGGCCTCTCGGTCTTTACGCAAGCTTTACACAACTTCATTACGGAACAGTCTTCGCTTATGATCAAACTCGCAGTCACACAGAGTAGACCAACGTGCTTCAATGATTTGAAATGAGCCTGTAGAAACCCTGTACCTATAAGTGGGACGTTTCCCGAAGCCGCGAGCAACTTTACTTACCATTTTCATGGCGTTATGCAATTGCAATTAATGCTCACCTATACTTTTCGGCGGAAGGTAGCTAGCCTTGAACCTAGTTCGGTTTGACATTTATTTGCAACAAAAGCTGCAACCAATTTGCCGACATCGATCCGTTTGGGACGATGAATTTGTTGGCCACTAAAACGTAAGATTAACGTAAACAAGGGCATGACCAGAGTCCAGATAGATACTTCAAAAGGAATGGCAGTCTTGTACACAACCATGTCAGCAGTAACTGATCGCAATGTGACCAATCTGAGTCCAGGTTCGAGATGCGGAGGAAAAACGCCAGGTGGTACATGGGCGATGACTGTGCTGTTAGGTAATGCTCGCCGGAAATAGGTTGTGGTCTGCACAAAGCTACGGTAGTTGGTCACTGTTATCTAACCTGCGACCAACAAGCCTCCATCGACCACCTAAATGATTCTGTTTTGTACCTACATCACTGACGTAAGCATTCAAGTCTCCTGCTATTACTACAACATCTATTGTACGCACTTTCTGTAGACCTGTTGAACTGTTAACTGATCGCATCTGGGCTGCAATCTATCAGAGCGTAGTTTGAAATGGCTAAAAGACTTTTTTTCCACTTCGATTTTTTCTTACTCTGATGGAGCTTTCTCATCTAACATGACCGATTGTTAATCGGGATCCAGTCGGTCAGTTCTTCGTCAACTCTGGTGCTTAGTGCGACATCATCGCTGGGAAAATCAGATAAATACGCAAAAGGGTCCACGGATAAACGCACGTGAAACAAGCTTTTCGAAGCGTCAGATTGAAAGCGAATTTGTACCACTTCACTAGAGTCCTGAATATAGTTCTCGGATAGACAACAGACATCAACTTTCTAAAGAAGGAACCAACCCCATCTGTTGTCTGATTTGCATTAATGTGCAAACGTTGAAGTAGGCTAGTTTGAATGGTATACATGGTTTCAGAAAGACTGTTTCAATATTCCTAGTCGTTGGTAACATTCAAATGATTTGTGTGTTGACTGTGATACTGCCTGTAACATTCAACTTTCGACCAGTCAGTTACTCGAAATCGTTTAGATAGGACAGGGTTATTACCATAGGCAAGCTGCTGTAAAGCTGAAAAATAAAATACACAGAATGACAATAAAGGGGAATGCATAAGTGTCGCAACATAAAGAAAATAAAGATGAATGTCAATAAATGATTTAGTAGGATTCGTCTGAATGTGAGTTGAAGCAATAATGAATTTTCTAGCAGTAATTACCATTAGATGCCTAATGTTTCCTATTATCAACGACACTGGTACTACCTCTATTATTCAGGGATTTCGCCTGATAACATCTCTCTTTGATAATGGGCTATGGCAACTTGAAGCGATGTACATACGTCCAAAATTAGGTAAAAAATTCTAATTGTTAATTAATTGCATTTATTTCTAATATGATAGCGTTTGCTGTGCATTACAATATGTCTAACGTGATATTTATTATTGTTTATTTGTAGATAATGAGAGAAATTTTCTTATATCTCCGCGACTTACCAAGTTTGGTAGACATTAAAGTCCCAGAAAAGTCTAAGTTTACTGTTTGTGGGGATATACACGGTCAGTTCTACGATCTTATGAACATATTTCAAATCAACGGGCTTCCGAGCAAAGATAATCCTTACGTAAGCAATATTACTTTCAGGATTTGTTTCTCTAGTTGTTCAATGGTGACTTTGTTGATCGGGGATCGTTTTCGGTGGAGTGTATTTTCACTTTGTTCGGGTTTAAGCTTCTTTATCCAGACAAGTTTTATCTTTCCAGAGGTGAGCAGTTGGTATTAAATCAGATATTTTATGCTCTTTTGATTTTCGGCGTCATACACTTATGTATGCGTTTAATTATCCTCATAGGTAATCATGAATCCGAACACATGAATAGACTTTATGGCTTTGAAGGCGAGGTAAAGTCAAAATATTCTTCTGAAGTGGCCAATATGTTCACGGATATATTCAACTGGTTACCTCTATGCCATCTTATTAATGAAAGAATTCTGGTAAGCGATTTACATAAGTCTTTTTCCATGTTCAAATGATTTTCTGTAATTGAGTTCTTATTTATTTGTACTAAATGATGTTCGTTTAATTTGAATGGATGTTTGAATGGTCGTTTTAATCACATGATCAAAAGTATGGAAGAAAATGTAAATGTAAATAAATTTTCTCGAAACTTATCTCTTCGACATTGTTTTTATCCACCTAATGTTAGTGTGCCTTTCTATAGTTCGAAGACTGGAAGTAGTTTGCACTTTTAGTTGCTCATGGTAGTGGATCATTAAAAAGTTTTTATAAGCTTAAAGCTGTTTGAATAACGACAACAAATTAGATTCTGCTTATAATAGTGTTAAAGCTAGATCATGGTATGTTAGTTTTGATCAAATGTCGCTTTGCTACAAAGTTCTTTTAGTAGTAGGAGATTGATTGTACAGTTTTACAGCATAAGATACATGTAATCCATCGAATCATAATGAAAGCAAATGTCAATCGCGCTACTTGTTACATTAACAAGACTAAATAAGGTTGTTTTAAAAACATCTTATGTTAGTGGGTTTTTTTCTATTTTGCTTATCTCATTACTATATTATTTTTTAAAAGTTTAACTACAAATTTTACGTTTCTAGGAAGTAGTCATTTGTTGATGTAATAGTATTGTTAGTATTAGTCGTGGTAATCAATAATTCTGTCTATGACCAAAAACTATTTAGTGGTGCAACTATTTATACTGGGCTGCAACATTACCCATTTGTGAAGTATGGTTTTCTGTATTCAGCTTTAAACCACATTGTTTGGTTGAATTTCGGCAATACTACCCAGCTAGCTACCAATGCATAAGTAACTGGAGTTGAGTTCAAATCTATAACCTATCGGCTGAAAACTAACCGCTTTAATCACTAAGTTTTACCGGATTACTTAATTTTGTTTTTAGTTTGCTTCAAAATCAAGGGTTAGATGTTTATACTTTTATTGGTTGATGTGTATCACTCAAAGTTTAGTACACATGATATTTTCAGATAGGTTGAGATTGTCTATTACTTACTTACGCCTGTTACACCTCGTGGAGGAGCATAGGCTGCCCACCAGAATTCTCCATCCAACCCTGTCCTGGGCAATCCTTTCTAGTTCTTATCTATTAGTTTTGGGATTCTCCATGTTCTTACTGCCTATTTATTTCTAGCCGTAAAAATTAATCAAAAAAAATTATCAATATTATTTTTTACTTTATTTACAATGTTAACACATTCAATTAGGTTATGCATGGTGGATTGTTCGAACGCGAAAATGTCACATTAGATGAAATAAAAAAAGTGTCTCGAAATCGTCAACCTGACGAAGGCACTATAATGTGTGAATTGCTGTGGTCTGATCCAATGGAGGCTGAAGGTCGAGCCCATTCTAAACGTGGAGTCGGTTGTCAATTCGGTCCTGATGTCACTGAAAAGTTCTGTAAGCAAAACGGTCTAGACTATATTATTAGAAGTCATGAAGTAAGTGCATTGATCATCAAGTGGTCTATTTTCAAAATACTCTGAATTTGCTTCATTTACTTTAAAATTAAGAGGTCAGTCCCTTCGCTTTCTAGATCCTAGCGTGATTGTTCACTTGTTAAATATAGCAGTTTAACTCTGCATTTTATTAGGGTCTTCACCAAACGACAACATATTACCTGCGTATTCTAAGCCAATAAGTCAACCTCCTGATAGGAGATCAGTGCCTTAAAATTCAATCGACGAGAGCGTTATTTCCAAAAGTAGGTCTATGATGAAATGAAACAGGAATTGATATATTGGATAGCGTTGACGGACACCAGTTGAGGTTGAAAAATTAGACGACAGTTCACATAAGCTCTGACTCGACTAGTAGTGTTCCAATAGAGAGCCTTCACAAGGATTATATACTTCTGAAGTACACCTTTCATCGACAAACGCCATTACTGGAAGCGTTCACGCGCCCAACCGTAGGCCCTAGGTTCGAATCCCGCGTACTGCCCCAAAATGCCCTGGTACGGCCGAGGGTGGGGGAAGTTAGCTCTCATTCTCGAAATGCTCTCACCTGGCCACACGTATGCACCCACTGTCAGGGAAGTCTTACTCACTGCCTTCTCGAGGCAGAAGTGTTGTTTACCAAATTGAGACGAAGAAAAGCGAATGTCTGGCCCCTTAACCGGGTCGATGGATATGGAGGATCCACATAGGGGAGTTAGATAACCCTTATTCCGAACCAGTGGTGCACATGGGCTCCAGGATGCCGAAGGAACAAATGGCGTATGAACCTACTGTTGGTCGCCGTCTACCATGGGACTGCATGTCCTAGCATTGCTCCACTTCCTTGTTGATTAGACCTTTAGATCAAAGGCTCTGAGTGTGGCTCCTTAAGAAAACCACCTGTTTCGGTTTTGGCACCCGGGCAGTACCACAGCCCACACACAAATCAAGTGACTTGTTTGACTCATATGTATTCGGTTCCCCTTTATACCAAATCAAATCAATAAATGAAATAAAACAATAGGAGGAAGCGGTTTTATGCTCTCACTCTGCCTGAGTTGTTTGTATACAGAGGTTTCTATATATCAATAAACTTCTCACACACACTTTTCTTCGACAGACAATCTCGAAGTGTACTATCCTGTTCTGCAAATTGAAGTTCGTCCTGATATCAGTTAACACAATTATCATTTGAATCCAGTAGGTGTGGCTGTGTTCTAAAATTCTGTGGTGGGTAAAGATATAACCATCTCATCAATGATCAGAACAAAGGCTAACCTAGTCTTCGCGATACAATATTTCTCGGATTTTGAATAGTCATCCAAGTATGATAAAAGCCAACAGTTTTGATGTGGTATAAAGCAGATTATTGCTAGTTAAATGATGTTGGGACACTCTCATTACCTGACTTTTCTTAACAACATATTCGATAGATAGATTTCTTTGAGGAATATTTCAGCTGGTCTGCTGCTCCAACAAAGATCCTTTAGGACCTTGTGTTAGGCAAGCCAGTCATCACCAAGCAAGGGAGACAAAACAATCTGATCGATGTTGTTGGTTAGCAGTACCCGTAAGTATGGCATGTATTTGGTCGAAAAGCTTTTGTATCCGGGTGTCTGTGTGAGCGGTGGTGGTGGTGTAATTAATAAGAATAATCTAAGTATAGTGAAAGTCAAAGTGGATCATACCAATCTTGGCTACCATTCGTGCCGTCGTGGGGTTAGTCTTGTTGTTGAAAATCATCTTTGTGTTAATTTTAACTGTCTGACTAGCTTCAACTTCTTCAACCGTTCTGAAGTTATTACCCGGGAGTTGAACATGGTTTAGCTTTCTAAAGCTGCACATATTACTATTACGAAATCTGAATTTCCGTCAAAAATGTTTACATGTTATACTTTGAGGTGTATTTTTGATATACATACCATTCATGTTGCTAGATAGCTAGATTTTAGCAGGAAATTTACCAAATAGATCTCCGATTGGCTATTATGCGAAATCAACCATGATAATTGTGTTTGATATCTGAAAGTTATGAAATATAGTAACCATCACTTTGGTGTAGACTCTACATTTCTTTGTGTTGTCTGTTTTGTCCTAATAAACTTATTTTGTTACAATATGTTTGATAATAATATTCTGATTTCAGTTTAGACCTTATTACATTTATAAACCGAGACCTTCATTCTGTGTTAAGTCATCTAAGAATTTTTATTTTTTTTAAGGTGAAAGATGAGGGTTACGAAGTTGCTCATAATGGTCGCTGTATTACTGTTTTCTCAGCTCCTAATTACTGTGACACAATGCACAATCGAGGAGCTTTTATTACATTGATAGGTAGTGATGAACCAGGAGAAATGTCTCCAATGTTTACCAGCTTTACGGCAGTACCTCATCCAGATGTGCGCCCAATGGCTTACGTGAATCCATTACTTTCCATGTTCATGTGATTTGTACATTGCTTTTTCCTATTTTGTGCCTTAAACTGGTTACTGAACATTGATAGATGCATATTTAAATCAACACACATATATACAGTTAACTTGACTAATGTATCAATTGTTCATTGTACACATTATATTGTCAAAGTTCTCACGTAACATTTTCTTACTCATTTTTGACTGGCTTACTTTTAAGTCAAGGATTCTCATGTTTGCATTTTTAATTCCATTGTAATAAAGTTACTTTAGGAAAATGTAAAAAAAAATTTATTCACATTCTTATTACTATTATTATTATTATTATTACTACTACTCACACTGATACCATTGTTTGAATTTGTGAAGGCTATTTTCCAATTTAGTCCAACTACCAGTTCTCATTTATTCTAGGGTTGATTTTGCAAGTATATTAGAAGAAATCATTAAGCTTCATTTATTTTATCGTCTTACTGTATCATGTTTGAATAAAAATTGCGGGGAATTACTACTATTAAATTTATATATATATCTAGAATTATTCGGGGCTAATTTTTTTCAACCTGATCGTCTTGGATGAATTGAAGTGAGGATATTAGAAAATAATTAGTTTTCGTACTTTCTTGCTTAGTAAGGAGGATATTTTCTATATTGCGGCATCTTAATCTGAAAATAAGTGTTTTCATCGTACATCATTATAACTTTTGCATATTACATTTAAGAAAGTGTATCGCTGTTTAATCTGGTTGGCGTTTTTTTAGCAAGTAAATAATCGCTGTACTATTCAAAATCTTACCGAATAAGGTTCAGAACTTAAGAAGTTGATAATCAAGCAGTCAATACTCATTGTTCCTGCCTGAACCTACTGAATAAGAAGGCAAGCAATAAAAACTAATAAAAAGACCGTTTATGGAATATGTTTCACGTGGCAGTCATTCATCTAAGCTGAGTTCACGCACGAATAATTTACTCGTAGTACTGACCATCTAATGTAACTTCGGCATATTAGAAATTCTACTGTAGTAATGGCATATTTGAATCAGTTTTAGTAAACTCAGTCATAACGCTTGTTTACAGTTTGTTCTCAAAAATGGATTTGTATGCTTCATACAACCAGAGTCCTTGATAAGTGTAAACAGAGCAAGAACAACAAATTTTGCGAGACAAAATGAATCCATTCGATTTCACGGTTTCTCATCAGTTGCATACAACCTAAAATTATAAATATAATTGTTAACAAATGTTTAGCATACTTTAGTTTGTGACGTTCAGATAAATGTTTGCAATAGAGCCGAACTCATAAGTAAAATAAGTACACAAAGTGTCTGAATAAACATAGTTAATTTTGAAGGCAGATTTCAAAAAATTGACAATGGATATTAGAGACATGTCAAATCACCATGACAAGGAAAAGTTTTTTGCTTACTTTGTTACTTCAACAACTCTCATCCCAACATAACGTTTACGATGGAATATAAAAGAGAACCAACCCTATTTTTTAGATCTTACTGTAAGACGGATTATTATTTAAACACATAAATATTGGTACAATGAAGCACCAGATACATATGCGCCGCACAAATCTCATTCGATTTGTGTGAGGGCTGTGATATTGCCCAGGTGCCCAAACTGTAAGACGGAAAAATGATGGAGCTCTTCAGGAAAATATATATGGGAAAGAAACATGAACAGGACAGTATTTTAACTTTGACAGCTTTTGCCCTATTAGTTACAAAAGATATCTAGTGAAAATGCTCTTCAATAGAGCTAGGATGTTATGTTCAAACGGCAAAATAAGTGAGGAATTGGCTATTCTGTAAAAGCATCTCATAAAAAAATGGATACCCGAGGAAATTTAGTACAAATTACGGAAAAGAATATCCCAAGGATGATAAACATCCAACTGTTGTAAATAAATCTGTCTTCATCCACCTTCTATTATTAACAATACTAGTTTTTATATGAACAAATTCTATAAATGAACGATTTGCCTTTACAGTTCAATGGAATTTTCTATATTTGTTTTAAAAGGAAAATAGCCCTTTTCTATTAGAGTACATTATGATTGCGTTAGCACAGCGAATTGAAAGTATGGGTTTAATGAGTTGTCACCATAACTATTGAATACTTGTGAATAATGCCAAGTATATTTAAATAAAACAATACCGACAGTATTCGTGTAAAAAAAAGTCTCATTTTATTTCATCCCTGAATGAAACAACCTGGTTCTGAAAGAAAACTTATAATAAATCAACACCTTTTATAGATTGATTACTAAGATGTCTAAATCAACTGATCAATAAATAGTAACTAATATGACATTGTTGCTCAGTCTTCATTGCTGATCGATCAAGTTATAGCATATCGATTATTTTGAATTATTTAACATATAAGTGCTCTGTTCTGTTATTTGTTAATTACTATTTATCTGTAAAATGTATCTAGAACTTTATTGGAAGTGATATTCTTTGTAAGAATTGGACTCTTTTCAACATGCTTCATCTATTCGAGATGATATTGACTTTCTGAAGAACTGAAATGTTATCCAATAGTAGGTACTATTATACAGTTTAGTCGTTAGTGTTAATAAAATTATCTCGATATGATATTTTTTTTAAAATGTAGACAATCGTATATGAAACTGAAATTAATTTAAACTAGTTTCATCTTTGGATTTAACAAAGAGAATGTTCTAGAGTTCATAGGAAATTCAAATTCATCTGATATGAATGCAAAACTATTGAATGAAATGATCAACAGATCAAAAAGTTAAATATGACACTAATATCTGGGATTCCGGGAAACATGAGAGTTTATGTCGGTAAAAAACAGTTGACAGCAGTCCTTTTTTGGTGGTAATCAATTACGAAGATTTCAGAAAAAAATTGAGTAAAGCCAGTATTTATTTATTTATGGTCTTCGATGCTTTAGTCTATCATCAAATATATAGAAAGCTATTGTTTCAATGAAAAGTATCCAGGTTAGGCAGGGTTGCCCAATCTCACCATTCCTCTTCAACTTTGCCATTGACGACATTCTGGAAACAGCTCTGATGGGCGTAAGTAATGGCGGTGTGTATCTGTTGCCTGGAGAAAGACTTCTCGACCTTGAGTATGTGAATGATATTGTCTTACTGTGCGGTGGTATTCAAGCCATGCAATCCGCACTTAATCAGTTGGCAATCAGTGTCCGTAGGTACGGTATGTACTTTGCACCTTCAAAGTGCGAAATGCTATTACAAGTCTGGTAAGACCATAATCCTGCACTCACTCTGGTTAGTGAACAGATAGAAGTAATCAAGCAGTTCGTGTATCTAGGTAGCTGCGTAAATGCTAGTGACGGTGTGAGTGATGAGATCGATTCACGTATAGTGAAAGCCAGAGAGGCTTATGCCAATCTGGGCCATCTTTGGTGCCTTTGTGATTTTAGTCTGGTTGTAAAAGGTCGATCTACAACGCATCAGTAAGAGCGGTTTCGCTCTATGCCTGTGAAACGTGGCTTCTTTGAGTTGAAGATGCTAGACGACTCTGTGTTTGATCGTCGTTGTCTCTGAAGGATTGCTGATATCCAGTGGCAACACCATGTTAGTTATACAGAGGTTCAACATCGTGTGTTTGGGCACAGTGGCGATAATTCAAATAGTGTCACTATCTCGAAACATCGACTTCGATGGCTTGGACATATCCTAAGAATGTCGTCCTAGAGAATTTCACGTTGTGTATTATATGCCGACGCTGGGACCGATTGGGAAAGAAGAAGAGGTGGTCAGTGTATGACTTGTTGTAGTGTGAAAAAAAGCTGTACATGACTGGCTCTTGTTGATTCTTCACGACTCCCTGACCGGGGTCCGAGAGAGGGTGGTACACAGTGGCTAGAGACGTTATCAGATATGGCTCAGAATAGAAGACAATGGTGATTCTGCTGTAACCTTCTTTTACTTTCTGCATAAAGAGTGGTTATAACCTCCTTAACTGAGAGAATTCTTCTGACTGTACATTTCAGTTTCCCTCACCATTACTTTATATATATATATATATATATATATATATATATATATATATATATGCATCTTACCCCTTTTTCTTCCCATTTTCATTGTTTTGTGTGGCGCATATATATCTGGTTCCCCCTTACACCAATATTTATGTATTTAAATAAATAAATAAATAATGATTCGTGTTACGTGTATATTGTTGAGTTATTTAGAATAATGCTTATGAATCGCTAGAATAAGTTCAATTGTTATTTAAAATTAATTATCTTACATCGTTTACAACCGGAAATGTTTAACTGAAGAAATAGATTCGAATATAGACATGCAAATTGTCAATAGTATAACATGTTTATGAAGATTGTTTAGTACACCGTTTATATCATGATTTAACATGGTTTAAATCAAGAAATAATTTTAGCTAGACCAATATTGGAAACCCTGAGGCACTTGAAGAAGGATTCAGCTAAGTATGCGGTTCTTCGTAAATGCTCATCAACTTCCCTGGATCCGAAAATCTCACTCAAAACCTTCGGTATCTCAGGCGTACGATTGACCTTATGAACCGATTTTAGATTGTCAACTATTAAAAATGAAGGAGTACTAGGAATCCATTTTACAAGGCCACGGAATCACTGAGTTGTATGAATCAGGAAACTTATCAGAGATCGAAATCAAAATCTTCAGGGCTTGTGGAAAATACATTCCTTTTTCAACTACCAACTTAACATCGAATGACTCACACTCCTAAAGTCACTCAACGATTGTTAAAATTTGGATCAGAAGAAAATTTATCGTATTTTAAATTAAATATAAATCAAGCTAAAACTTGTATAATTAAACTTCCATATCACTTGTTATAACCTGCTGCTTACAACACACTTCAAAAATACCAACGCAATTCGTAAATCCCCACACTTACTCTTCAATACTATGCACCAATACTTTGAACCCAGTCGCTTTCTATTGGAAAGGTAAGTCCAAGCACACTAAAAGTTGTGATAATTAGGAGTATTTGAATTATAGTACAAACTAGGAATACTAGAAATAACTCAATTTAACCATGAAGTACTGGATAAGCACAAACGAATGTATTGTATTTGGAATTCGAAATCAAGTATAAAGGAATTGTTAGTTCATACAAATACCATCAAAATATATTAGACAAAAATATTATTTTATATACAATTCCTCCTTCCAGTGATTATCAAATACATCTAATTATTTATAAGTTATATCAAATTTTAAGCTGAAGAAATTTCAAATCTGAGAGAAATGTCTAACAAAAATTACTATAATACAAGAGAATATCATACTGAATTAACTGATAACTGAAATTGTCGAAATTCACTCAGAAGTTTAGGTAGACAATTCTCACATAGAATTAGTCAGTATTTTTACTTTTAATCACTTATCAAGGACATCATATACGATCACTATCTTTTGTTGTCGATGGTGCATTTTCACTGTCCCTGGGAGGATATTTACTACACACTGTAGAGGAGTCTCATACTGGATTGAGACATCTGTTTAGTTCTTTCTGGTTCCTAATGTC